AAACACTTACGACTCCCCACCACAAGGCGTCGGCATAGCTCTGGAAGTCGGACTTGGCTTTGCCGGGCCGGCCGTCCGCCTGAATCGGGATCTCATCCTTTTCGGCCAAATACATGAAATATGACGAAAATATTAGCCCTAAAAAGCCTATGTATAGCGTTGTTATCAATTCCTGTAATAATTGTTGCAAATATAAAATAAAATTATTAAATTAAAAAATGTAAAATTATTATTATAGAGATTACCTGTCTGTGCACAAACACAACTGAGCCCAACAGTCTCCAAGTGCCTCCCTGTCTGTCCACGTGAAGCATACGGAGTATTTGCAAAAATCGTATGCCTCTGTATTATAAATCACAATTAATGATGGTTAAACTTATATTAGTATTATTATTGTAATTAATTTTAATTTTGATCTTTTAAGACGAATATCAAATTAATTATATTTTCAATTTTGACGTCTTTATATAGGATTTAAGTGATTATTAAAAATTAGATTTTGTTTCAAAATAACATGTGTTTTGATTTAATTAGTTTAATGCATAATAAAATGCATTGCATTTAACGTACAATTCTTTTAACAATATGTTCACGAAATCATTTATTTTAATATCAAATAATATTTCCACTGAATTACTGACAACGCCTTTCAAATGAGTGATATTATTATAGATTGAGATTTAGTTTTATGATCACAATTAGTAATTAATGGTTTGTAAAATACAATATTATTATACAGTAAAATACAGTACATTTTATATAGATGTTGTTTTAACATATATATAGATTGTATATTGAAATTAAAACTATAATTATGTCAGTAAACCATTAAAATATGTTAAATCCGCTCTAATTATACATCTTTTGCATTGATTTTAAACATAATTTTTATATAAAGAATTTATTGTTATTTTTTTGTTGTGAAAGAGTTTTATTTTTATATAATTTTAATCAAACATAGTTTGGGTTAATCTTTTGGAGATCTGATGGAGAAATCGAAACAATTTTCAATGCATCTAAAGGTTTGAAAATATTTTTTCGATTTTTTTACAAATACTTTGTGACAAACATTTGACTAAATTTTAACGTAAAATTTTTGTGGCCTTAAGAATAATATAGAAATTTCTGTTTTCTGATATAATTTTTCTTACATTTTATTTGTTATTAAAAAAAACTCTACAAATGTAGTATACATTTGATGTGACTTTCAATTATATCTCATAATAACTGATGTTTATATTGAAATTTCTGTTTACTAACTCAATAGGAAGTATTTGCCTCACTTTTCAATGCATTTTTATTTTTGAAAACAAAAAATACATTAAACAACAAATGAAATGAAAAGCTTTATATGAATAGCTAGTATTTCTCATTATATACCATATGAATAGGTTTTTAAATACAATTTCTTTGACAAATGAACTAATTTTTCAAGTTTTATTTATAATAATAATTATAGTTATATTGTATTCATTTTGTATACATATACACAACCAGTTACTGGCAAAATGAATATACTTTTCCAATATTTAATCTCAATTAAATACTTTTTTTAGATATTGATTTTGACGGTATGTGTAAATCGATAGCAAAGAATATTTTTTGCATACAATTCACGCAAAATACTGATTTAGAAATCTAACGCAAAAAAATATTATTTTTGAGAGATTTTGCATAAATAAGTGGAAAATTTAATAAAAAGCTTTTAGTGATAGAAATGCCATAAACAGTATTTATAAATACCTAATGGCAGACGTGGCAAACACCTGGCCATTGGAGCCGACGGCAATCACCACTATTGAGGCCACCACTACTATAAGGTCTGCCCAATAGATAATAATCATATATAAGATGTTAGCATGAAATTCAAATAATAGCATGGTTGTTTAATTTCATACCGATTACTGAGATGGGTTTTCGGGCAAATCTAAGTCGACCCCAGCATCCCATGTACTTTGACCGACAACCGGCCGCCCATAGCCTCACCCCATACTCTATGCCAAAGAATATGACCAAAACAGCTTCCTATAGGAAAAACATAATTTAAATTTATTAGTAATACTTTAGTTTATGTTTCAATTTTAGTAAAAATCAATTCCCAAATCAAAATAAGATTATGTTTTTAAAAACATGTTTTTGTTATAATTTTTTGCTGGAATA